ACTGTCTCGCAACGCCTGGCCGAAGCCTTCGCCAGGAACTCCGCCCCTCCGCCCTCCGAGATCCCGGACTGGGCTAAGGAGTTCCAGGACGTCTTCAACAAGGAGTCCTTCGACACGCTACCGGAGCGGAGAGCCTGGGACCACGCCATTGAACTCGTCCCCGACGCTAAGCCCACCAACTGCAAGGTGTACCCCATCTCGCCCCTCGAGCAACGCGAGCTCGACGCGTTCATCGAGGAAGGGGCTTCGACGGGCCGGATTCGCCCCTCCAAGTCTCCGATGGCGTCTCTGGTCTTCTTCGTCAAGAAGAAGGACGGCGGACTCCGCTTCGTCCAGGACTACCGTGCTCTCAACGCGATGACTGTCAAAAACCGGTACCCCCTTCCGCTGATCAACGACCTCATCAACCGGCTCAAAGGCGCTCGTTACTTCACCAAACTCGACGTCTGCTGGGGGTTCAACAACGTCCGGATCAAGGAAGGTGACGAGTGGAAAGCGGCTTTCCGGACTAACCGAGGCCTGTTTGAGCCCTTGGTGATGTATTTCGGCCTGACAAACTCCCCTGCGAGGTTCCAAACGATGATGAATGACATTTTTCAGGACCTCATCCTCTCCGGAGACGTCATGATCTACCTTGACGACATCCTGATCGCCCATTCCGACCTCCAGAAACACCGGCAGATCGTTCAGGAGGTCTTGCGGCGACTCCGAGAGCACAAGTTGTACCTCCGAGCGGAGAAGTGCGACTTTGAAAAATCATCAATCGAGTACCTCGGAGTTATCATCTCCCACAACCACGTCGAAATGGACCCCGTCAAGGTCGCAGGCGTCTCCGCTTGGCCGACTCCGGAAAACAAGAAGGACATTCAGCAGTTCCTTGGGTTCGCTAACTTCTACCGCAGGTTCATTCGGGACTTCTCGACCCTTGCGCGCCCTCTTTTTGTGCTCACCAAGAAGGACCAGCAGTGGACTTGGGGCGACGCGGAGGCCTCCGCGTTCCAAGCGATCAAGGACGCGGTCATCTCGGAACCGGTCCTGGCGATTCCGGACGACGCACAGCCTTTCCGACTCGAGGCTGACAGCTCTGATTATGCGACGGGGGCGGTTCTTTCACAATCCGCCCCGGACGGGAAGTGGCACCCTGTAGCATTCTATTCCAAAAGCTTAAATGATGTCCAGCACAACTACGAAATCCACGACAAGGAGATGCTCGCGATCATCCGCGCACTTGAGGAGTATAGACACTTCCTCGAGGGCGCCGCGCACCCTGTCGAGATTTGGACTGACCATAAGAATTTGGAGTACTTCAGGAAGACGCAGCACCTCAACCGGAGACAGGCCCGGTGGTCTCTGTACCTCTCCCGGTTCGACTTCACGCTGCACCACAAGCCTGGCCGCGATATGGGTCGGCCTGACGCCCTCTCCCGGAGACCCGACCACGGAGTCGATTCCGACAACTCCGATGTCGTCCTTCTGCGGCCTGAACTCTCCGGTGAGCCTGACCTGGAGGAGCCCGTCGCACTAGCGGCCCGGCAACTTCTTAAGGTTCAAGGTCAAGCTCGAGGCCCCCGCTCCTCACGTTCTGACGAGTGGGCCGTCTCCGGCGGTCTTCTCCATTTCCGAGGAAAAATTGTCGTACCAAAGGACAAGGACCTCCGGAGACGCATCATCGAGCTCTGCCATGACACCCGAGTCGCCGGACACGCAGGAACTACTGGTGGCCTCAGATGTCTCGCCATATCGGCCGGTATGTTGCGACCTGTGACTTGTGCTGTCGCACCAAGGCACTCCGGAGACTGCCCCACGGAGAACTGCACCCCACGGAAACGCCCCCGAACGCTGGCATACCGTCTCCGTCGACTTCATCGTAGAGCTTCCCAAGCCGATGGGTACGACGCGATCATGGTCGTCGTTGACACCCTCGGAAAGCGCGCCCACTTCTCAGAGTGTCATACGACGGTCGATGCAGTAGGGGCAGCCCGCCTCTACTACCGGAATGTCTGGCGGCACCATGGGACTCCGGAGAAGTACGTCTCCGACCGCGGCTCGCAGTTCATCGCGGACTTCACCCGAGAACTTTGGCGTCTAATCGGCATCAAGCCCGCCACGTCCACCGCGTACCACCCGCAGACAGACGGTCAGACAGAGCGCGTCAACCAGGAGCTGGAGCAGTACTTGCGGATCTTCACCAACTACCAGCAGGATGACTGGGATGAGCTGATTCCGGCCGCGGAGTTCGCCTACAACAACCACGTTCACTCCTCCACGCAACAAGTCCCGTTCATGACGGACTCGGGCCGGCTCCCGCGCATGGGCTTTGAACCCGGAGTCCGTTCCGCCATGGAGTCAGTGAACGAGTTCCGCGACCGGATCGCCACTGGTGTTGCTGAAGCCAAGGCCGCGCTCACTAAGGCCAAAGAGGAGTACAAGCGCTACTACGACCGGAGACGGACTCCGTCTCCGGAGTTTAAGGTTGGCGACCATGTTTGGCTGGATGCCTCTGACATCAGGACGACTCGCCCCTCGGAAAAGTTCTCCCATCGCCGCCTTGGACCGTTCAAGATAGTCGCGGAGATCAGCAAAGGTGCCTACAAGCTCGACCTCCCTCCGCGCTACTCGAAGCTCCACCCGGTCTTCCCCGTCGTCAAGCTCGAGGCTCGCCCAGGACGACCCCTTCGACGGACGCCCCGGCTACGACCAGCCCCCTCCGGACCTCGAGGACGGAGTCCCGGAGTGGGAAGTAGAGGAAATCCTGGACGCAAGGGTGAGGTATAAACGGCTGAACTACTTCGTCAGATGGAAAGGCTACGACGCATCGCACGACCAATGGGTCCGCTTCGACCGCGTCTTCGCCCGGAGAAAATTGCGGAGTTCTATCGTAAGTACCCTGGCAAGCCACGACACATCGCCTCCGCGACCTTCGACTCGATTCCGTTCCGGTCTATGCGTCGGGACGCCGCATTCAAAGGGGGGGGTGATGTCAGGGGAACCTCCCTTTCGGCCCGGAGACGCGCCCGATTCCGGTCCGACTCCGGTTCCGACTCCGGTCCGGCCCTCCATCTCGCCCGCACAATCACCGATCCGTCAACGCCCTCCCGACAGTCGCCCTGGGACCTCGCCTGCGACGCCGCCCAAGCCTTCTGTGCCCGACAGCGGCAGCTACGGACAAGCAGTATATAGTCAGCTACCTAGCAGGCGGACCCTTAGAGTTTCTTCTCTTTGGATCCTCCCCTGCTAGGTCAGCTTCATTTGTATTCGCTTACCAATGTTCACGCTTTGGATCCTCCCCTGCTAGGACCTTGATCTCAGGCCTCCGGGGTTGCCCTTACAACAGGCACATCTCTGGTCTCCACTCATTATATGAGTTGTGTGCATAGTTTCCCCTTCTTTCTAACTGGTTTCTCCAGTATATTGGCAAGAACTTGTGTGGTATCCCTTCCACACTGTCCACTTCTTGTTGTTGATAACTTTCAAATAATTTCTTTGCAGTTGGGTCCTCCTTAAAGCAAGAGGCAGTTGTCTTAGATGCTGCCAGATATGCTTCCTGAACCCATGGGCAACTACTTGCCTGTCCATCCACCACATCTGTTGGACGAGGGCTCATTCGATTTAGAAGAGGAACTGAGATAATTTGGCGGCCACAGAAGTTAAAGGCATTGAGAATTACAGTCACGGATATCCTCATTTTCACAAGAGATGCCCATCCAATTAGATATTTAATGTGTTTTTTGACAATATTTTGCTGTCATTCTGTTTGAATACATCACAGGTAGGTGCGGAAATAAATCCAGATTTCTAGGTGGAAAAGTCAAGTTGCAACTGTACCGGGGTCATCATTTGACGACGGCTGAGCGCGTCACACCCGGTCACGCATGCCATCAATAGACCCGGCTCTGCCCCTCCCGTAATTGACATTGGCCGTGCCGACGCCAAATGCACCGAGAAATCACCTCGCGACAGCCCCTCTCTGCCATCTGCCTATCACCATCTGCCATCCCCGGATCGCCCATCACGGTGTTTGCGACCTGCCGACGAGAGGGGCGGGAGATCGCTGATCGGCGGCGCCGGGAGGCAACCCTACCTGGCCTACGCCCATCGGGCCGATTCGATGCGCGGGCGTCCCGACGGGTGTAGCATTTGCGCATCGCGGCATCTGGACAGTGCCTACCCCCGGGATGTTGTCGGCGAATGTGTGTTGCGTGCGCGGGGAGACGGCACGGGATGACGTGGGCAGGGTTGTGTCAGCGTGTCAGGCGGCCCAGCTTGGCTGCGACAAGCACTGGCAGTCGTCGGCGGCGAGGGCCAGGTGAATGCGAGACAAACTTGCGGTGTGTGTCTTGGCGTCACTCGCTCCCGGGCTAACCGTCCACTCGCCGGAATGCGTAGTGTTACTAGTAGTACGGTAGGCTGCACCGATTGCAGCATGGGCCCATGATTGGCATGGGCCGGGCATCTCGGGAGGCCGCACGGTGCATGTGCTGGTGTGATACGTGTGGGTGCGAGGCCCCGCGCTGGCATCGGCGGGCTTGCCTCAGTCAACATGAAGAGTACATGCGCCACCAAGGGTTGGGGGTGAAATACATCACTTGGATCTGGACTCTTGAGTCTTGGGGGAGGCAGACCTGCGTCATTGGCCGGCGGCGCGGTATTGATCGGAAGGTCGAGGCCTGGGCCCACCGACCGATCAACGGAGATTCAAAATTTGGCAGTCCGATGACGTTGTCGTTCACAGCTCCACAATACCAGCTTAGGGTGTAGCTACGAGGTACCGGCTCAGGCTTGCTCTCCTTGTTCCAGGCAGCGCGCCACCCACACGCGCCCCATCTATCGGCCGACCTCGATCGGCGGGCCGATTCACGTCGCCCGACGACCCGAAATTCGAAATACAGTAATTTACGTCGCCGCGCGTGGAAACAGACGCGCGGCGCGGATCACGGAGATTGGACGCGGACGCCGGTCCGATTTCATAGCCATCAGTGAATATAACGGGATAACGCCCGATGGGGTATGCCCAAATCGGGTATCCCCGTGTTCGTCTCGGGCATCCTTCCTTTGCGGAGCGGGAGTAAGAAGATGGGGCAACGCCACGGGTGGCGAAACGCCGGGCTTCCTGCCCTTGGGGGGGTAGGGCGGGGGCGAGCCAGCGCGAAACACCCGCTGGCCAATACCCTAACTGCGGGCCCCGGGCCGAGGGGATCGAGATCCGATGTGACTCGATGCGGGAGATGATGACGGCGTTATGCAATTTATAAGCCATACGTATACGTCAAGCCGTTCCCGTTCCCCCGTCTCTTGTTCTCATACCACCACCACCACCACGATGGCCACACAAACCCTTCCCCCCGCCACACCCCATTCGCCTGCCGTCCTACAAGGAGCTCGCCCTCGCTGCTGACATCGACGGCCCTTTGGCCCGCTCGTTTCAGCCGTTGCCCAGACCGACAAAGGGCGTTGTTCTGCCGCCGCTGAAAGTCGTGCGTTGCGTAGCTTTTCTTGTCAGTCAATACTGACGAAGTTAGCCTTCCCGCCCCTTGCGGAAAGAAGACGGCCCAGTCCACGACCGCTTTCTCGACCTGGCGCGCCACTGTCCCGCTGCACCGCCGCCCAACAAGGAGTGGACCTCGCCTTCGCCGTACTCCGCCTACCGTCCAACCTCCGCGTCAAGCGTGACACCCGTGACCACCGCACTGCCGACGCCAATCGTCTCTAACCCACCACCGCACCCGCTTCCTGTGCCCCAACAACAGCATGCGCCGCAGCCCCCGCAGTACGACCCCCTCGCGAGCGAGCCCCTCCGCTTCAGCCACGCCACACGCCCCGGCTTCGGCCCGCCCGGCCGCACGAAGAAGCAGGCGCTCTCGTGTTTCTTTTGCAGGGAGCGCAAGATTGCATGTGGGAGGCCGGAAGATGGGAGTGTTGACGGGCGGTGCAAGTGAGTCGCTCTTAGTTTTTCCGTTTGCTGTTGCGTGCTGACGAGAACGTCTTAGTCAGTGCGCCCGACGCAAGATCGCGTGCACCTACCCCACCGTCTCCCACCGGGGCCAACATTCCCGTCTGAAGAGCGCGGCGCGCAGCGGAAACCGGAGTCATAAGGGGGCCGGGCCGGAGGTAGAGGCCGGGTCGTTGTCGCCGTCGCCGGAGCGCACTACGAGCGCGAGCCCGTTGTCGGTTTCGTCGCGTGACTCGTATGCCGGCGTGCCGTTGTTGCCCCTGCATGCGCAGAGTCGCTATGGCCACGGCATGTCGTGACCGCCGTGATGGGTGGACGATGCGCTGGTTGGAGGGCGAGTATTTGGCTATGAATTTTCTGCGCAAGCGGGACAGTCGTGCTGGTTGTTGGCATACCGGCCTTGTTGCGCAGGTGGGGAGGGCCGGGCCGATGGGCGCCGTTTGAGGAGGCGATAACACCCGTAATGCAAGAGAGGAAGATGGAAAGGATGGGAAGTAGAAGGAGATAGCATGTAGGTAGTATTTTGGAACTTGCCCAAAGCAGACCCGCAAATAGTCGGAGTGATCGCACCCGGCCCAACGCTAACACTAAAGCTGGCGCGGGTGCTGTCGGGCGTATGTTTGGTCGGCGATTAGACATGCTGTGTTTGTGGGAGGAGAACGCCGCTACCCGGGTTCAACAGGGTTCAGAACGGCGACTGCCACGGAAGCCGGACGCCGGCGTGGTGTGGCGCGTCCCCGACGGCGCTGCGGAGGACAACCGTGACAACGGGATGGGATGGGATCCCGAGCTGCCAGCGCGCGATCGGGACAGGTGGGATTTGAAGGCGTGGAAGGTAAGGTGGGCGGAAGTTGCCGCGACTCGCAGCGAGTGCAATCCAAAGTTGGACAGGTTGCGCTGGCGTGCGATAGATGGGGCTCGAGACACCGTTGCCGAGGCTTGGCGAGGACGAGCGTTGGGAGTTGGGCACCGTTTGGTATTAGGTATCCTACTTAAACTTGGTGTGCACGACTCACGCTGACACTGACTGTTGGGGACTGACATCCTGCGATGGACGGAGTTCGAAAAACGCCGTCTGGGGCCTCCTGCGAAGCCTTGGCGGGGCGACATTTCCATGTTCCGTCCTTCCGTTGTTGGCAGAGGCTAGGGACTGTGTAATGCCTATCAGCAACCTATCAGCGCAGTGTGCTATACTTATCAGATACTAGACCCGGCTTCCCAAGGGCTGAATGTGCGACTGGGAGAAAAAGCTTCCTGACTGGAGACCGTGACACAAAAGCTTCCTGACTGCTTCTCGGAGCTCCGGTTCTTCCTCTTCTATCGTGGTTTCTGTTGCGATGAATACTTGAATCAGGCACGGCGCGGGAATTGCGGGCTGAGGCGGTGGACTCACACGCGTCATACCGATCATCTGAAACACTAGTACTGGGTGAGGACCCCTGATAGTACGCTTGCAAGTTTGATACCTCCGAAGGCCAATTTTGTCCGAACGGGCGGCCAAAATTGGACAAAATTTGTCCGAATAGGTTTCCGAGTGCCTGGGGAATCAAAATTTGATGGCGCATCAAAGCCGAATTTTGCGGAGCCCTGAAACGAGGATCAACAGAAAATCCTGCCAAGTCAACAACGCTCACGCGCGACGCTCAAAACCGCTGATCCAAGGAGCCAACAGACATGGGCCGGGGTGATAGGCCAGGCAGGGCACAAGGTCGGGAAGCTAATTATGTCCGTCACAAGCCTCAAAGTTTTCTGGATTTTGACCAAATTTGTCCGAACCAGTCACCAAAGTGTTTCGCACTTTTGGACCCAATTCTGTCCGAATTAGTATCACTGACGGAACCGTATTATCAGGGGTCCTACTGGGTGGCGGGTGGCCCGATAGCGGCGCTAGTCCTATTGCGCTCATCGCAGGTTGTTTTGACTTGCGCCACTCCACGCCGAATGCGATGCCAGCAGTGCGATGCGATGTCTTGCGATGCGCACGGTGCCTATCGATAGCGGATAACGATCAAACTGGACAGGGGGAGTGTCGCGCACGTGGGGATGCAAGGGTCTAAGGGATTCATTTGCTGCGCACCCGAGACGCACCCGCTCCACTTCCTCGACCTCGCTGTATACGTGGCGTGGCGGCGCTCGGAGTTTGGCACTGGGACTGCGCCTCCAGGCGTCGGGGACATCTGCACAGATAGGCACCGGAAAGCCGATCAGACGTTGATCAGCCTTCGTTAACGGCGTTTGACATGTGCTTGCTCATCCCTAAAACAGCAGCGCATCCACGTTGATGCCGGGCGCCACGCGGGCCGAAGGTGAGCGTGACTGATATCTGACATGCATCATGTCAAGGGCCTGGCCGAAGCCATGCGAAGGGTTTCCTCTGTTTTCATCAGTGTCAACAGCACCTCACGTTTAATCAAAATTTGTTTCCTCCCTCATTTACATGTAGTAGAACTAAAACTTGTATTGGTACTATCTTTAAGCATGAGATATAACTAAACTAGAGGTCGCCAGCTGCGCGGCGCCTGCCACCTTGCTTTGTCCCGTTCCAGTGACACCATCACACTGAGGTCTGGGCACAGAGTGAGGATTGGGTGGAAGTTAGGTTGGCAGGGGTAGAAACTACTAGAAAGACATGCAGAGATTCTCAACTGCTGCCAGTGCTGGCAATACCCGCTGACCCACGTTAGCTCCCTATTATGCATTGCGCCTGTCAGGGGAACCCCTGCTTCGGCCTCCTTCGGACCATCCGAGCGCATCCGAGGCACATCCGACCGGCACCCCCTCACCCACCCCGACCATCGTCCACAGCCTCCTTCACCCGCACAATCACCGATCCGTCAAGACCCTCCCAACGATCACCTTGGGACAGAGCCTGCAACGCCGCTCAGGCCTTCTGCGCTCTACGTCGGCAGTTACGGATGACCAGTATATAGTTGGCGCCCTAGCAGGCGGACCCTTAGAGTTTCTTCTCTTTGGATCCTCCCCTGCTAGGCCGCGTTTCCGGTTGCCGTTGAAGGTGAACGGGGGGTTTGGTCGCAAGACCAATTTTGAGGCGAGGTTGATATCGCCAAAAAGGGCTTCGGAGTCGCCCTGGACCGGAGTCGGAGTCGGAATTGACGTCTCCAGCGATGCTGTTTGGGGTCTGCCATCATTATTAGCGGCGGCAGCGGCAGCGGAAGCCTGGTTGGTGAGTAAAGCAAGGGCCTCAGTTAGGCTGTCGATTTTCGCCTCGAGTGAGTCCAGCCGGGTGTCTGCGGTAGGAGTGACTCCGGACGGCATGACAGGTGCGGGGACCACAGGAGTAGAGGAGGAGGGGACAAGTGGCAGGGGCGGTGACAAGGGCGGAACGGACTCGTACTCCGAGCCTGAGTCAGCGCCGAACCTGGCAATCTTGTCCGGTTGATCCCGTAGAGAGTTTCTTCTGCTGTAAGGGCAACCCCGGAGGCCTGAGATCAAGGTCCTAGCAGGGGAGGATCCAAAGAGAAGAAACTCTAAGGGTTCGCCTGCTAGGGAGCTGACTATATACTGCTTGTCCGTAGCTGCCGCTGTCGGGCACAGAAGGCTTGGGCGGTGTCACAGGCGAGGTCCCAGGGCGACTGTCGGGAGGGCGTTGACAGATCGGTGATTGTGTGGGCGAGATGGAGGGCCGGACCGGAGTCGGAACCAGAATCGTCCCGGAATCGGACGCGTCTCCAGGCCGAAAGAAAGGTTCCCCTGATATTCCATAGCTTTTATTCACGCTTTGGATCCTCGACTGCTAGGCTTTCGTCGGAGTCTCCAGGGTTGCCCTTACAGTGCCAACAAATTGGCCAGTGCCACTCGCCAAAATTTCAATCATTTTGCCCAAATTTCCATCATTGTGCGACGGAAACTACTTAAGGCAAATTCTCCTTGCAAACGACCCTTTCTCTCCTCATCTCTCTCTATACCTAATGCCTTCCAGCACTATATCCTCCGATGTGTCGGATTCCGCAGTCTTTTGTGGCTTTCCTGGTCCCAGTCAACGTGCCTACCATCACAACACTTCTCCCAGCCCACACGAGCATGCGGTTTATTCAAGCTCACCAGAGCCGGCTGCTCCTCCTCCAATTCCAGCATTTCAACTGTAAGAATGCATTCAATTGGGTCACCAACATACACTACTTATAATTCTCCCAGTCACAACCACCAGAACATCTTGACGGCGCCCAGCTTTGTTTCGAAACGAGGTGATATTCATGCTCTTCTCTCCTACACCTGAAATGTACTCTGACCTGCCGCATTAGAATATGACGAGTTGAACCAGAGCTACCAACACCTTCGTGCGGTTCACAGTGCCTTGGAAGCCAAGCATAAGGCCAATTTCGAAGAACAGATAGAGGCATTGGACCGATATTTGGCAGATTACAACAAACTCAACGCTATTCATCAGGAGCTTATTGGCGACCATTCCGCCTTTAAAGCGTGTAACACCGTCCTAGCTCAAGATAATGCTCGACTTCAGGACAAACTAGAAGCCATAACGCGTGTGAAAACGGCACTCGAAAACAATGCTGTTGATTCCCTGGCAGCCAACATCAAGCTCACGAAGGAGGTCGCGCAGCTCAAAGATGACCACAAGCACATGGAGGAGCTGTGCAAGAATCAAGCAAATAAACTTTCTGAACAGAAAGATACACTTTGCACTCTCGCTCAGGTAATGTCGATGGATCCAATTTGCATATAGTTCTGACAAACCTGCAGGAGAACGATGTCTTTGTCAAGAAATTCACCCAGGCTCAGAAAGAAGTCAACGTACTCAAACGCGCCAAGGACAACATTTCCCACCGTCTCGCCTTGGCGAATACGATCTTGGATGAGTTGAGGGTCCCCGCCAGTGGCCTCCTTGGTCGGCTCCAGGAGTTTGGAGGTGACCGTGACTGGGAGTCACGTTACTGACCCAACTCAACTCAAAGTTCAACCATGTATTTGTGGACCCATCCTGCTGGCGGCGCTGGCGCCCGTCAACCTGACACTGACAGCTTCCCACCACATTTGAATGGTAAAACTTACCAGCTAATCATCTAGCCATGGCTGATAAGCAGTAGGAGTAGGTTATACAAGCTCAGACTTACGGCCAGGTGGCAACTACCTTTGCGAAATGGTGCCATATATCGGCACACAGCATCAGCATAATCTAGATGTCCAATTCTTAGTGCCAGCCGCGCCAGAAGTCTTGGCGTATCGGTCACAGCTGCTTTTGAACGCTTCCAACATGATTCAACGACAGATATCCACCAACTCGAATTCTTCTTATGGCGAAAGTGGGTCTGCCTGCAATCAG